AAACGAGAGCAGTTTATCCAAGTAGACAGTAGTCCTGCTCACTCCTTGGATTTCCTTTTAATAAATTTGGCTTATCATTTCACACTATGCTTAAATGTTAAGCTACAGTAGAAGGAACATGGACACTCGAATTCGATTCCTGGACTTCAGTGTGATAAAAATTAGTATAACAAGACTTGTTACTTTCCAGAGTCCTCACTTATATATGATAGTGTTCTGATACCATATATCGTCATATTGCTGATAAAATAAAGAATGTGTAATTGGATTAAAGTGAGAAGAAAATGGAGGAAAACTAAACAGGGAGGGAAGGGACCGGCTGTGTTGAGGCCATGTGACCACTGCCATCTGCTAGAAGGAAGAGGTTCTATACTTAATTATTTATGGCATCCTCTGTGGAGGTCAGCTCCGGGCCTGAATTAGCTTGGAGCTCATTAGGACCTTTGTCAGATGATCTCTCCTTTGGGGAGACTTTATCTTGGGCTGTCCCCTCTCATCTCTGTCCTGATGAAAGCCTTCTAACTTCAGCAAGTCGAAGAAAGGCACCAGGATAAAATTATAGTTGCAATTTTACATGGGATTAACTTTTATTAAGCATAATGCATTAGTGGCTTTAAAAAACCCTCCGGCTAATTTGTGTTATCTCTCTGGTCTGTTTTAAAAATAGTACAATCAAAAAGAGTCTTAAAATAATTAGACAAGAAATGCTCTGGGAATTAGGAAGAGGTTACACTCTGGTAGGATTTGGACCTGCCTGGAGCAGCTGGTGTCTGTACACTAGAGTGAAGCAACCATAGTATGTGAAACGAAGCCAAGCTCTTTTTAACTTTGTTTCGACTCTAGTTACACAGCGGGCAGCTAGCTACAAATTTAGGAGATTAGTAGAGATACTTTTTAAACAGCTATAGATGAAGTCATCAATATTTTTGAAGATTTTTATGATTTTTTTTGGGGGGGGATCGAGGGGGACAAACTAGAAAACAAACAAACAAAAATAATGTAAAATATCTGACCCTCAAAAGGCTTCCTATGAATATAGTCAGTGATCCCTGTAAGTTTATGTACAGGTTCCAGGAAATTCAGTATTTAAGAGTCTTCGCAATGGAGCATGGCTGTAAGCCCAGCACTCTGAGACTCTGAGAGGCAGAGGCAGGCGGATGCCTGTGAGTTCGAGGCCAGCCTGGTCTACAAGGTGAGTCCAGGATAGCCAAGTCTATACAAAGAAACCCTACTTCAGAAAAAAGAGAGGGAGAAAGAGAGATATTCTTTCACTAGGATGAGTTTTCCACAGACACAAGAGTAGCCACCTGAATTTCTTATCAAGGAAAGGTTCTTATCAAGAAAGATCTCACAGGTGGGTGCCACCGATGCAGGAGACATAACAGAAAGCCAGTGTTGGACAGTTGGCAGGTCTCACAGCGCCTGTAGTTCTCAGGTCCTTCCGTGGCAGAGCTCTCCTGCTGTGCTTTACTAGCCCTGGGAAGGCTGGGTGAGGAAGTCCTGTGTTCCAGAGTTGTTGGCATTGGTCCTGGAATGTGGATTCAGAGGTGGAGCTTCCCCTTAGCTGCCCTGAAGCAGAACTCCACAGAGGAAGTAGGGTAGCTTCTATGCTTTGGGCAGAGCTTTCTAAAAACCCACAAATAAGGGTATGTACCAAAAGAACAAAAGAGAGGGGACAAATTGTTCATATTTGGCTTTGAAAAAAAAAATCTGCTTGTAGTTACAGGTGAAGAAACTGCAGTTAATTTGAGTATTGTAAAGCTTGATTTAAAAAAAAAGTCATTCTATTTCTGGGAAATGAAACACTCTGGGTAACTTTGTTGAATAAGTATGGCTTATCACTTTCCTAAATATCACTGCTAATCTCTGGAAATATTTATACATTTCTCTACCCCTCCTTTTGCTGTTTTCTTATTTTGAGATAGGTTCTCACTGTGCCCAAGTTAACCTGAAGCTCACTGTGTAGTCTAAGGTGGTCTTGAACCCCTGTCTTGTTGCTTCCTGAGTGCTGAAATTGTAGGTGTGTGGCCAAGTCTGGCTGCTTAAATGTTTGTGTTTGAAGTAGCCAAGTCCAGCTGTATTTAAAAAGGAAAATAATATACACAGAATAAGTTTAAGGCTCTCTAATTTTATTTATAAGAGGTCATATGCTCTTGGTGGTGTATGAAAGGGGTTGGTCTTTTGAGCCATGGCCTCATTATATAGCTCTTGTTGGTTATTTACTATGTTGAATAGGCTTGCCTTGAACTCCAGAGATCAGCCTACCTTTGCCTCTCACATGTGCCACCATGATTGGTTAAGATATGATACACTTAATTTTTAATTTTTAAAGGTAAATTAATTTTATTATTTTATGTTTATGAGTATTTTGTCTTCATTTGTTTGTGCACCTGTGCATGCAGTGCCCGCAGAGGCCAGAGGAGGGCATCCGATCCCCTGGAACTGGAGTTCCAGATGGTTGTGAGCCGCCATGTGGATGCTGGGAATTAAACCTGGGTCATCTGGAAGAGCAGGCAGTTCTCTTAACCAGAGATCTTCTCTCTAGCCCAAAGGGATGATATACTTTCATGACCCAAACAGTTTCCAGTTCTATAGCATGTCTTACTATTGTTATAGAAAAAAACATTTGACTTACAAAGTAGAGGTGGGAGGATTGTGAGGTTTAGGCCAATCTGGGCTACGTGATAAATCTGAGGTCATCTTGAGTTGCATAGTGAGACCCTTTCTCAAATAGAACTAAATATTAATGTGGAATAAGGGTCTAAAAGTAGTGTGTTTAATAGACCAACCATGGTTTATGTTCAAAACAGGTTTTTCTGCTCTGTAAATTGTGGAAGGTAGGAACAGTAGTTGCTTTCTCATAAATGTGATACTTGGATGACAGAAAACAGCAATGTGTCTGGACTGTTGGCTTAGTAAATACTGCTGGCTTATAGGCATCACCTGGGTAGTTAATTAAAGGCTGTGTGTACAAATGCCTACACAATGTTGGCGAGACAAAGTGGAATGCTGTAATGTGTAAGATTTACTGGGAAGATTTACCTAGGAAGGTGATAGTATTTTAGGGCCCCCAAAACTTTCTACGTAATTCCGATACCGGTGTCCTGTGGGCAGTGCTTGGAGAGACACTGGCTTTGGTTTTTGGAATACAGCTGGCTATATGATGATGCAGTGTCAAGGGTGACAGGAGTAGAAGACGTCATTCTTTTCGAGATTTATTTATTATATATGCAGCATTCTGCCTGCATGTGTGCCTGCACGCCAGAACAGGGCACTAGATCTCATGATAGATGCTTATAAACCACCATGTGGTTGCTGGGAACTGAACTCAGGACCTTTGAAGAACAGCCAGTGCCCTTAACCTTTGAGCCTCTCCAGCCTGACTATTCATTCTTTTAATCCAACCAAACTTAGTGAATTCTTACAGTATTTTAGTTTGTAGAAATAAAGGGACATTAGGAATATTCCCCTTGTAGAAAGTAAAAATATTGAGAAGATAGTTTTCCCTTGTTAAAAAAAAAAAAATGGTAAGACAGGCTGGAGAGATGGCTCAGAGGTTTTAAGAGCACTGGCTGCCCTTCCAAAGGTCCTGAGTTCAGTTCCCAGCAACCACATGGAGGCTCACAACCATCTGTAATGAGATCTGATGCCCTTTTCTGGCCTGCAGGTGTACCTACAGGCAGAACATTGTATACATAATAAATAAATAAACCTTTAGTAAAAAAAGATAAGACAAACATTTTTAATATCTATAGAAATTAAACATTCTTAAATTTTTAGATTTGTTTATTTTATGTGTAAGAGTATTTTGCCTGTGTGCATGTAAGTGTACCATGTATGTGCCTGGTGTCGTCAGAGGTCAGAAAAGGACAACTAGTGCAGTATAAGTGCTAATTTACTGTGTGTGTATTGGCTGGGTTGGGGTGGGGTGTTAAGATAGTTTTGGTATGTAGGTGGCCCTGTCCTTGAACCTGTAGCAGCTTTTTGCCATGGCCTTCCAGAACTGGGGACATATGCCTCCACCCCTGTCTCTGGTCCCAAACCTCAGTGTCTGCTTTAGATCCATCTAGATCACTTTATTGCACTAGGTGTGGCATCTCATGTGGGGGGTGTCTGTATGAGAGAGAGGGATAGAAACACACACACGAGAGAGAGGTATCACTCATTCTCTTAATTCACAGTTTATTCTTCACATTAAACAATTAATTTCAAACAATTGCTTTGAATGTTCATCCAGTGCACTTTGAGGGGCAGGGAAGAGTTGTGGTTGCATCTGTTACTAAAATTTCTGCCATTTACATGTAGTTTTATTTATAGAATCAGAGTCCCTGAATAGTGAAAAGTTGGGTTAGCACCATGGTTCAGAATTATACTGGGTAGAGCACTGCCTAAGACTTTGTAAAGTAATATTAGTTATAGGCTGCTGAGGTGGCCCATCGGGTAAAGTTTCTTGCCACGGAAGCCTGATGAGCTGAATTTTATTCCCCGTAATCCATTGCAGAAAAAACGAACCAACTTCTAAAACCTTATCCTCCGAACTCCACACTGCACACCCGTGAGCATGGAAATAGAAAATTTCTTTCTTTCTTTCTTTCTTTCTTTCTTTCTTTCTTTCTTTCTTTCTTTCTTTCTTTCTTTCTTTCTTTCTTTCTTTCTTTCTTCCTTCCTTCCTTCCTTCCTTCCTTCCTTCCTTCCTTCCTTCCTTCCTTCCTTCCTTCTTTCTTTCTTTCCTTCTTTCTTTCTTTTCCAGCACTTTTGTTGTTAGATCAAGAAATGGCACACAATTGTCTCCCTCCCCCATCTATTTCCTGAATACTATTGTGTATGTGGAGCTTAGCATTGCTTCTTTTTCCCCCCTCCTTCAAGCCTTGGCTACGGCCCCTTTCTGAGAGGCAGTGGGAGGCTGCCTGGTCCGCCGCCTGGCCCCGGCCCTGCGGAAACGGTCGGAATCTCTTTGTGCATGACTGCCTGCTGCAGTGCCCTTCGTTCCTCCCTTCCAGGTCACGTACTTCAGCCTTTGGTACTACAACAAGCAGAATCAGCGCCGCTGGGTGGACCTGGAGAAGCCCCTCAAGAAGCAGCTGGACAAGCACGCGCTGGAGCCCACGGTCTACTTCGGGGTGGTCTTCTACGTGCCCTCTGTTGCCCAGCTGCAGCAGGAGATCACCAGGTGAGAGGCTCCCTGCCGTCTGTGTTTAGAAAGCTGTCCGGAGAGGTCAGAAGGGTGCAGCTGAGGGCGAAGGCCCTTGAGATAAAGGCCTCTGACTGACTTTGCCCTCCGGCCCACATTTTTAGTCACCACATTACTTGGAGGTTCTGGAATGCAGTATGTCAGACTGAATTATGCCTCACTAGGCCCAAAAGGCACGGGAAAGATGATCCGTTCACCCCGGCCTGAACTCTTGTGAGAACCTCTTTAATGTTTTTGTTGTTCTGTTTCTGATTCCTCATAATGAGGAAATGGGAGGGGCCAGGGTTTAAACCGTGTGCTCCTAAACTCCTGCTCTCTCCTCAGGGAACTAGCCAGGTTCTTACAATGCCGACCCCGATGCTGTATTCTGTAGATGGGTCAGGGCTAACGTGGGGGACAGAGCACACACAGCGGGAGAAGGTGTTTATCACGGGAGAGTATTGGCCGGTAAATACCCTCAGAGGGGCCGAAGCTGAAGGCGAACAGTGGAGGGACTAGGAATCTTGCTTTGTTTCATCCTTCTGGGTTACATAAGGCCCTTTTCGTGCATTCCCTCCCCTGCCCCTCTACTGTCCCCTTTTGTGTCCCTTCCCATCCCGTCAATCCCCTTTCTTTCCCCTACACAGTTTCCCTTCTGCTTTCATGTCCCTTTTCTCTCTGTCTCCCCATATCTTTCCCATACTCCAGTCATAGTCTCATATCATCTGACTCCACGAAGCTCTGGCATGCCCCTGGTTGGGGTGCACTCTGTCTACCCCAGGCTACCTTAGGATTTGCTGGTAGATCTGTTAAGGTGGTTTGTATCACAGCTTCCTATTGTGGCTACTTGCGTACCTGTCTTTCTCTTCTTTCTACATCTTAAGTCCATGTTTTCTTTGGCTTGGCCTTCCATTCAACAGCTATAGTGCCCTGCAGATAGTAGGAACTGCTGCTGCCTCATGCTTGTGGAATGCTGTTTGAATCTGCCAGGTAATTACTGGAAGATACTAGAAAACCAAAGAGGCAAGGGTCAGCTGGTAGGGATAGGCACAAACGGACTGTGGAGCAGATCTGAAAGAGAAATATTGAAGAGAGTAAGTAGAAGCCAGGAGGAAAAATATGAGCTGGCCCCTTAACTCACTTACACATTTACTGAAGATATTCTGTGGTCTAAGAGCTGTTAGGTCCGTCGTTTGAACCTGACCCTGGAGTTGGTGCTCACAGTCTGGTGGAACTGGCAGTTCATGTACATATATAGTCACAATGTCCTACGGTAAGAAACATTTCATTTAAAGCTCCAGATTCCCAGGGCTGGGGCATGGAGAATGTGACTACGAAAGGGAAAGAGCTGACTTCTTGATAGGCCTTAGAAGGAATCTTCTAGTAGGGGGAATAGCGTGTGGACAGCAGGGAACATAGAAAGTCTCAGCTAATACCTGGAGAGGAGAGGCTTAGAAGCCAGGTGTGCACAGTCATAAAGACACGGGACAATGAGGAAGGTGCTCTCAAATCTTAATGGAGTAGAATGATTCAACTTGTGTCTAACAAAGACTGCTCACATTAGCTGATAAATTAGAGATGAGAAAACTGATGAATTCAATTGGAAGTGACAGGAGACCAGTTAGGGAACTGTTGTTGGAGTAGAGCTCAGACATTACTTCACAAAGGCGTGAGCTATAGAGTGGGTGAAAAGCAGGGGGTTGTTGGGTTCAGCCGACAGGACTGCTCCTTGATCAGGTGTTGAAGACCTAGTAGAGAAGTTCTTTCAGTAGGAATTAGGTATGGTTCTGGGTATCAATAAGAAGACTTCTAGTTCTGAAATGAGGCCCCAAGGGCAGCCATCCAGGCTTGTGTGACAGCTCTGCAAAACAAAGTCTGCTTCTTTCTCTTATATTATGTTGTCACCAGCATCTTCTTCACACTTACTGGGCTTCCTCCCAATGTAAGACATCTCTCTGCACAGGCTGTGGCTCTCAGAGCGGTGGAGTCAGGAAGCAGAACAGTGGTCACTATGACAGGGGAAGGTGTAGGTGGATGTGCGTCATGCAAAGAAACTTGCAGGGGAATAGGTACTTAGGCGGCCTAACCTGTAACCGTGACTTCGTATATTTTTTATATGTCAAAACTATATGTTGGAGTAGTTTTTTCCCTGCCAGTTATGCCCCAGGTAGATCTTGTAAACACCCACTCAGGGCTGGAGGTGCAGTTGAGTGGCAAAGCCCTCGCCAAGCATTTGCGAAGCTTTGGGTTCAGTTCCCCGTACACCAATGGAACAACACCTCCCCCAAAAAAGAAAAAACAAACCAAACAAACAGACAAACAAAACCAAACATTCAAAAGTACTTTAAGAAAAAAGGCAGAGAACAGAAATCAGGATCACGTCTTCAGAGCACAAGGACTTGTTAGGAAAATGTAGTCATAAGGCAGCAGAAAACTCTCACCCACGTGATGGGAACTTACAGGGATTTTTGTTTGTACAAGTCAGGAAAATCTGAGAATAATGAATGCTGACTCGATAGATTGAATTTTTACGGATTCATGAACTGATAGTATGTAACCTCATTGGTTACTACACTAGTCCATTTTTTCGTTACTTATAACACTATTAGTATAGTCTGTATAAATTTTAATGATTTAGTGGATTTAATGCCTCACCATTCTGGAGCATACGTATTTGTAAATGTGGCATTTTCCTGCTATGTCATTTACAAGGAAATTCTCATGTAAAGGATAGTGAACCATCACTGAACGATTTATAGCATATATAGAAGAATTGGTTCTCAGAATAAGACCTATTCAAAGCTAAGGTGAGAGAAGATTACATGGAGGCCCAAGTTAGTTTGGTCCATAGATGTCATGGATGCTGACCTCAGGATTTTTGTTTGATGTAAGGAGAGAGTCTAGCATAATGACAGTGGAGCATGCCCACCAGATACACCTCCCCAAGTGCTGTCTCTTTGGGCATTCAAAAGCTGTGTAGAAAGTTGTAGGTTTTCCCCTCTGGCACCGCAGCATTGCCAGCATTTTTAGTCGCTGATTGCCAGACACTGTGGTGCCTGCTAGCTGGTAGAAGGGGAAAGCTGGGTGCAAATTCTTTTTATTTCAGTAGATGGTGTGTCGGTCAGGCCAGAGACTTAAAGCCCAGGTGGAGGGCTGACATAAGAATGCGTATGAATTCTGGGGAATTCAGATATGGTCTACACTTGGACTGCTCAAAGACAGGGACCTAGAGAGACTCAGGTGGCATCGTAAACTGCAACGGCAGTCACTGGGTCAAATTTAACTCTTATCTCCAGTGTCTAGAGTGATGCTGCAGAACGAACAGTAAGAGGCCCTAGCGCTGACCTAGTCAGTGAATAAAAGGAAGCATTACGTTTTTACTCTGGGGCTTCATCCAGATGGAAAAATGATACGATGAAAGGCTCCTGACTAACTGAACGTGCATTGCTGATGATAATCCTCGCTGCAGCTTGCGTGCCAGCGCATGTCTAGTGTTGTTAATGGTGTTACACATGTCACTTGGATGTTTACAGCCCGCTGAAGGAATATCTTTATTTTATCTACAAGACTATGACTTGCCCAAGGTCATGCATAATCCTAAATTGGAGGGCTGGAATTTAAACCTAGATCCACTCCACCCTATGGGGGTGAGGGGCGCAGATGAAGTAACTGTGTTACAGAATAGTAAAGTCTTTTAAAAGTTATTCTCATTATGGTTACATTTTAAAAGCTTCAAGATCGCCTATCTGAAATATCAAGAATCATTTTCCTTAAGTTTTACAGAGCTAGTGAAGTTTTTATGTAAATAGCTATCTAAGGCCTTATTACCAAGTTACAATGAGAGGTTTAAAAGTCAAGATTGGCCAGAATTGGCACATTTTCCTTACTGTAAATAACAGATCGCCAGGGCTGTTTTAGAGGGTGCAAGACAGATGGCGTGTTGCCCTATAAATGACTTTTAACTTTGGTTTTTTCTGACGGGTGTGTGGCTTGCTGGAGATCAAGCTAGGCTCACACATGCTAAGTAAACATTTACCCCAGAGCTATGTCCCTGACACCTCATTTTAACTTTGAAATAATTAAAGCAAGGGAGAAATAAAAACTCATTAAACAGATCGAATGGTGTGCTTATACTGTCAGGGGCATTCTTTGCATTTTTGAAAACATCTAGGGCTACAGTTTCATTTGACAGCTTATGTTCCTCTACTAAACTATAGCAAAGTGCTTTGAGTGTTGGTCAGAGGTTATACTGACACTGGTTTCATTAACTCATCCTTAAAATAGGTATCAATATTACCTGCAGCTGAAGAAAGATATTTTGGAAGGAAACCTTCCCTGTACCTTAGAACAAGCCATTCAGCTAGCTGGTTTAGCTGTTCAAGGTAAGCAATGTATGCAAAGTGATAATTCTATCAGATTAAGATGTGTGTTAAAAACAGTAAAGGATTCTGAATGTAACTGATTTTCTATATGAACTGTTATAGTATTTATGTATTAGTGGAATATTGTGCTATTATCTGGGGCCTTTCTTGTAGGAAGACAATTTGGATTACTTCAGTAAAGTGTGAGATTTGTAGACATTTTTGAAAGATGAATTATGTAACATGTCAAAGGAGCAAACATCTATGTATATGTACAGATATCAAAGAATTTAACATGCCAAGTGCTAATTTCACTGTAAGACTTACTTGATCCTAATATTTTGATCTTTTCATCAAGAAGGTTGATGAAATTATATTCACTTATGTCTATTTGTTTTTTTGAGACAGGGTTTTTCTGGGTAGGCTGGCTGCCCTACACTCGCTTTGTAGACCAGGCTGACCTCAAACTCACAGAGATCCAAGTGCCTCTGCACCCTGAGTGCTGGGATTAAAGCCATGTGCCTGCAAGCCTGGCTTAATCACTTGTATTTTAAGTACATTCCATGTCTTTGGTTTCCCAAATAACTGTTCTAGATTATAGAGCATCCTCACTCACAATAGAACTGGTTTTGTGTTTCATAAATTTTTTTTTTATTTAATTCAACATTGCACGGGTCTCATGTATGTGTATCATGCTGCAGGGGAATTTCTGCTCCTGTATTATTTGAAGTGGTAACTGGTGTTTAACCATGGAAACTGGCTTTTAAGTAAAAGAAAAATTAAGCTGGGCATGGTGGCATACACCTTTAATCCCGGCAAGAAAGAGGATTCTGTGAGTTCAAGGCCAGCCTGTACCACATGGCTAGTTCTAGGCCAGTCAAGACTACATAGTAGGACCACAACTCCAAACAAAACACAAAGGAAAAAGCAAAAAAATAATAAAATTTTTCCAGATACTAGCCGTCAAGGACACCTGTGATCTTGAGTTAAGCTTCTGACACAGTTATGCACCATCCCCCTTATATGCTGCCTGAACACATGCATTCCCTTCCCCATCTTGCTTTCTTCTTGGCACTTGCCTGTGCACGGAAGCATGTGTCACATTCAGGGCAGGCTTGCTTCACTTCATAGACATTTTTCCAAGCCAAGATGCACAGACTCACCTACTGTTTTTTTAAAAGAGACTCTAAAAGCTCATTCTGTTGTCTGTCAGACAGATTTGGCTTCCAAATCGTAAGCATGCCATCTGTATTACTCACTTTGTTGTGAAAATGTGTTGTCGTGAAAATTAAACGGAATCAACATGCTAATGTTTATCATTTTGTATAGCTGATTTTGGTGACTTTGACCAGTATGAATCCCAGGACTTTCTTCAGAAATTTGCCTTGTTCCCTGTGGTAAGACTTCTTTTGGCATTGGGCCTTTTTATACATAGTTAATTCCTATACTCTTGGTAATCCCTGATTGTCCCACATGACAGACTTTCTAAGCGGGACGAGCATTGCAAAGTCAGTTCCCGCTTGTAAGCATCCCATGTGCCAGTCTTGGTCTGTGTAAATTTACAGAACGGAAGGGTGTTGGCTTCTGTGGGGCACAAAGATGTTCTTTTACCTTTGGTTTTGAGTCTAAGAGGGATTTGGTTTTGGAGAATTGCATAATGTTGGGTTGAACCTGACTTGTCAGTGTTAAAAGCCTGCCTTCCACTTTCTAAAGTTACCGTTGAGGAAATCGGTGTGAACATCTCAGTGTAACAGCTGAGGAGGGTGTTCTGAGGGGGTTACAACTGGGCTCGGAACTGGGCTGTGGATGTTACCAACCTTAAAACTCAGCCGAAGCTTTCCCTGGTTGGAGCCGAGAAGGCAGGGCCACTCTTTTGGCCCTGAGCAGAGGCCACTTGCTTCATTAGATGCATCATGGCTGTACAAAGGCTCCCCAGTGTTAGTACTGGTCAGACTTTTGTCTGTAGTGAGAAAGTCAAGGCCAGTAGCAGCGGTTCCTTCTAAGAGAGAGAGAGAGAGAGAGAGAGAGAGAGAGAGAGAGTGTGTGTGTGTGTGTACTCACTGCTGTGTGTTTCCTTCAGGGGTGGCTACAGGATGAAAAAGTGCTGGAAGAAGCAACCAAAAAAGTGGCTTTGCTGCATCAGAAATACAGGTACACAGAAAAGACACGCAACTGATGGCTGCTTGAATTTGAAATACGCTTTGTGTGTTAAGTTGGGAACTTTACTGCAGCTTGCTTGCCGTTTTACGTTTTGCTGTTTAACAGTCACTGTGTGCCAAGTACTGTTGTGAGTACGACCCCCTGTCATTTCAATTACTGTCTGCTTTACCGATGAAGCAGAGGATATTGAAAGCGTCCAGGACTGAAGGGGCCAGGTCGTCACCTCATGGGTTCAAAGTGAGATAGTAACTAAACCTGTGTAAAATAGTACGTGATTAACGGAGTTTGTCTTCTACAGTTCAGTCCTCCGGGTGCCCTTCCTTCCTCCCTTCCTTCCTCCCTTCCTCCCTTCCTCCCTCCCTCCCTCCCTCCCTCCCTCCCTCCCTCCCTCCCTTCCTTCCTTCCTTCCTTCCTTCCTTTACTTCCTTCCATCTTTTTTAAAATGGTGTCAAAGTTTGAACTCAGGGGCTTGTACACAGTAGGCAGATACTTTACCGCTGAGCTACGTATATCGTCTGCCCTTGAGACTACTGAGAACCCGGCTGGCCTCAAGCTCTCTATCCTGCCACCTTTGACCCCCCCTGTGCTGGGGTTACAGCATGCATCCCTGCGGCCTTTGCTCCTCTGTATGCTTTTGGAAGCGGAATTTCTGTCCTCTGGCGAGCTGTGATAAGAGTCCTCGTATCTGTCGCCCTGACTATCCTTGCATGTACCCACCTTGCTGGTCCAAGCTGACTTTCTTGATGGCGGATCTCCTAAGATGATAGCTTTTACTCTAAGCCTGATGCTTTCTATATCACTGTGCTCTGATAGCTCCAGTGTTCTTTAAGGAGGTTATTGCCTTCATCTTAGAGACGAAGGAAACTAAGCTCAGAATGGCTTAGGTCTCTGACATATGGTAGAAGTGACTTGAAAATAGCTATGCCTGGTTTTAACTTTCAGTCTTTGGCCGTAGTCTCTTTCTGCGCCCGTTGGTCGCAAAAGAGTAACCTTCCAAAAGCAACACTCTCATCTCCTTCTGCACTCCTTCCCAGAAGCTCAGGGGATTTTCTCACTCTCCAAAAATTGCTAATCCTACCCTTCCACCTCCATGTCTACACGAACCATTTTTTCCCTAGTGCACTTGAGCCCTGAGGCACACATTACTCTGATTTTTATCATTTCATCCATTTTTACTGTCACTTATATAATAGGACTGAGGAACCCATAAGTACTTTCTATCCTTATGAGACAGAAGGCTGGACAGTTTACTTTAAAGATAAATAGAACACTTTTCTGCCTTCCAAGAATGTGTTCCCAACAATCTTAGGATAGTCAGCACAACCCACCGCAATAGCAGTTAGTAACAGAATACCGTGCGCAGTGGGGCAGGTGTAGAGAGAATGTGTTAGCGCTGCACTGGCCAGGACTGAGTACTGGGGACGCCCAGAGAACCTGACAGGAGGAGTGGTCGGGTCCTGAGCCCTGAGGAAACTAGTGATTGCCTTGTCCAAGTAGGGATGGACAGGTACATGATGAGCAGGGCCTATGTGCACAAAGGTTCAGAAGTGTGAGGCAGTCAGTATTCAGAGCAGTGCAGAGAGCCTGCGGTGGGCACAGCCTGAGGTGCCTCGGGCACATGGGAGAGGGGCAGCCGATGAGGCTGGAGAGGTTGGTCGACGCGTCGAAGTGTCCTTCCTTCCTCACCTCTCTCCAGTCACCTGAACTAATGGGGATCTGCACGTAGCCTCTTCCTGCCCTTGTTTCTTACATTTGTCATTTAGTCTTTAAAAACATTTTTTTAAAAAGATGTGTTCATCTTATTTGATATATATGAGTGTTTTGCCTGCCTGTATGTAAGTGTACCACATGTGTGCCTGTGGAGGTCAGGAGACGGCATCAGATCTGGAACTGGAGTTACAGATGATTGTGAGCTGCCGTGTGAGTGCTGGGAATAGAACCCGGGTTCTCTGGAAGAGCAGCCACTGCTCTTGACCATGTGTCCATCTCTCCAGCCCCATCATTTGGTTTCTAAACCAAATTCTCAGTATTTCCTGATACTTTAGGATAATTAAGCAACTACCTTCTTATTTAAATAAAAACTCTTGAATTTGCCACGAAGATATCTTGCTGCTTTATTGATTGTCTGTCCTTTTACCTGCCTGAAGCATAAGGTTAGATATACTTGCTTTCTGCAGTTAGCACAGTGCTTCATAGTTTTTGATAAATATTAGAGATCAATATAGCCAATTACAGATGCTTAGAAGTGTGAAATATTCATAATGTCCTATTTCAACGGATGCACAGCTTTTAAGAAAAGCATTTTAAAAGTTTAGATTCGGGAGCCATCTCATGAATATCTTTTGGATTGCAGAGGGCTCACAGCTCCCGAAGCCGAAATGCTGTACATGCAGGAAGTAGAGAGAATGGATGGCTATGGAGAAGAGAGCTACCCTGCCAAGGTGAGTATGACCAGCCCCAGTCAAGCTTAGCAAGCTGGGCAAGGCTGTGCGTACCTGTGGTTGCAGCTACTCTGGTTGCTGAGGTAGGTGAATGAATCATTTGAAAACAGAATAGGAAACAGGGTGAGATTTTGTTGAAGAAGAAACAAACAAACAAACAAACAAACCGGGGGTGGGGTTGTTTGCGATTTGAGAAAATAGCATGGCTGAGGTCTGTGTGACCAGAAGTTTGTAACTAAATGCAGTCCTATATTGTAGTCTGCGTTTTGGTAGGATCAGGAAATAGAGTTCTTAAGAGCCTAAACGTGGCTGTGAGGGTTCAGGCACTCGCCACCAAGCCTGTAGACCTGAGCTTGATGCTGGCGTTCACATGGTAGAAGGAGAAAACACAGGTTGTCCTCCAACCTCTACCTGTGCACCGTGGCATGTGTGTACCAGACACAAAATAAACAAGTAAATGTATTAACAAAAATATTTTTAAAAGAGTCCACACTCCTTCTAGCTCCATGCTTATTAGCAAGATAATAAGTCTTTCTGACCCTGTAGGTCTTCTGGACAATATTTATGAGGGAAACAGGTTTAGGGAAGTGGATACATTCGTCCTTAGGCACCATTCCCCAGGAATTTCTTCCTTTCTTCTCTCCTTTTAGGATAGCCAAGGGAGTGACATATCCATTGGTGCTTGTCTTGATGGCATCTTTGTGAAACACAAGAATGGAAGGCCTCCTGTGGTATTCAGGTATTTTTCTGTGTTTTAAATACTTACAGTTGTTCATGTTGACATGTCTTTCCTCAGTGCAAGTTGGAAGATGAAGATATTCCTTCTAGAGTTAAAGCCAGCCAAGTATGGTGCTTCGTTAACATGCTATTATCTTCAAAACCAAATATGCAGGAAAAAAGTGCTTGTAGTGACAGCCTGCTTGTAAATGCTTATAAATTGTAACCTGTTAGCACAGAGAAGCCATTCTTTGTTTTGATGGGGATATTTTCACTTGAGCTCTGGTTTCTCAGACTATTTATTCACTGTGGAAAATCTAGGCTTTCTTTTGAATATAGTTCTATAACAAAGTTAAGAAAATGCCAACATCTTGGCAAACTTCAGTTTTTGTAAAGTTGTTTTCCCTCCAGTTATAAAAAACCGATGTTGTTCATTTGCAGGAATCTTGGAGTGTATGTAGCGGGGAGGTACAATGATGGGCAAGGGTGTGCTGATAGTGCAGGTTCTGAGAAGTGAACCCACAGGTGGCTTAAGCTCACTTTGTAGGGTTCTGTGTTCCAGTGTTTGCACATACAATGTTTTACTAATTCTTTGAGATTTTTATGTCTTTATACAATGTTTTTGGGCCATGCTCATTCCATTTCTCCCTCTAACTTCTCTTGAATGTAATCTCCTATTTGGTATCCATGTACATAATATAAACCCATGGAGTCTATATACTCATGGGTATGAGGCCATACCCTTAAAGGAAACTGCATGTTCTTCCCCAAAAAGCTGGCAACTGTCAATAGCTCCTTAGCTAGGGGTGGGGACGGGTCTGATCTTGTACAGGCAACCACAGCTGCTATGCATTCACAAATGTCAGCATTCCTCTAGTGTCTAGACACTGTTCCACTCCATTCTTCCATGGCCTTTGCTTTTATAATCTGTCTTCCTCTTCTTCCGTGATGCTCCCCGAGCCTTGGTGTATGTGTGTGATATAGATATTTTATTTGTGGTTGACTACTCCACAGACATTTACTCTCTGCCCTTTGAGCAGTCTGAGTTTCTGTGTTAAATACCGACCATCCATAGCAGACAGAAACATCTGTATGGAGGTCTGAGGGCCGCACTAATTGATAGGTGTGGAGATAACCAATTTGGAGGGCAGTTTGACACTATGACCATTTAACAAAATTGTAGGTTCTCCCCGGGGCCAGTGGGTTCCCCCAAACATAGGTCCTTGTCAGATTTATTATAGAACAAGGCATGAGGCTGTCCCCACAGATTAGCTTTAAATTCAGCCAGAAAGCGGTTGTGCCACTACCTATGACATTTGTGCTACTACCGCACCTGTAACAGTATCTTGCCGTGCCTGTCATTGCAGCTGCAGCATTCCTAGCTGGGTAAGACTGTTGATGATTTCCCTCTCAGCATCCTGCATATCACCTTCAGGTACCATGAAAGCTAGCCAGCAGGGAAGAAGTTTTCTGACCAGCACAAATTTCATCTCTCCCATTTATATCTTAAATGTCATAAATTAGGTCATGTTTTATGTATAATTCCATATATATGTATAAAATTTCTTATATATAATTCCTTAAAATCTATAGTCATAGAAAATTTTTTATGATTTTTATAAATATTTGCTCTTTTGCTCTCTTTTTTTTTATCGATTTAAACAAAACAGAAGGTTTATATTGTTTTCATCAAGCAGTGAGGCAAATCCTATCACTTCTGTCTGTTGTTGGTTCCTTTGTGTCTACTATTCATTGAGTGTAATTTATCAGGAGCCAGATACTGTGTTGACTGCTTTCTCTGCATTTACTCATGTAATCTTCATCTTCATATAACTCAGGGTGGCAGGTATTACCACCACTTTTCACACAAGATAGTGGAGGATTAGAAAAACTAAGGGATTTGTCCCAGGCTGCCCCACTGACAGGTACAGGTAGACAAGAACTTGGATTCTCTACTTAAGCCGGGGCTCTTAAGCACTGTATTCCATTGCCCGCCCCCCATAGCTCCTTCCTTCTATGTTTCACTTTACTTTTGAGAACTGGTCTTCCCCATTAAAGACTTTTTCACTAAGATGACATCTCTTCCTTCTCTAGCTTTGCTCTGCTGCCTTTGGGTCCTGAATTACCCAGAGTGACAGTAGCTACAGAGAGTAGACATGGCTGTGGGAACAGAGCCCCATTCCCACATTGCACTGCCTGTGCGGGGCTGCCGCCTGTGGCAACTGGGCTCTTGTCCCCAGCCTGGTTATAGCGAGTCTTCCCGACATGCTGAGCTGGGGCCACAGGGAGAGGGGACTGTATCAGGGCTCACTCACAACTGGACTTGTACCCAGAGGCCATAGAGAAGCCTTGGGAACTCAGTCAGTTGCTTTCTTCACTGCATAGGAATTTTCAGATCTGCCTCATTTAAACTGATGCAAATAAGTCTTTAGCTTTAACAACTGAGCGTTAAGTCAGTAAATTAACTTTGATCTAACAATTTTTAACTAAATAAATACAACACAAGCCGAACACCCCGAGTCAAAAAATCCCCAATCAGAGATGTGGGGGACCAAGGATAGAGCTCAGAGGTAAAGCACTTGCCTCAGGTTTGCAAGGCCCTGGGTTTGCATCCCCACACTGGCAGGCGAGGGGCAAGAGTCCACCCTCGAAGTGCTTCATGCTCAGGAGCTTTGGATTTCGCATTAGGGCTGCAGAACCACTGATTCCAACTATTTTTTTTTTCTTTCCTGAACTCTTTATTTTATTTTATTTTATTTTATTTTTTTGTAATTCTTTTTTTTTCTTTTTTTTATTATTATATCCCCCCATAAGCCCCTCCCTCCTCCCCTCCTGACCCCACCCTACCTCCCCTTTCTTCATGCATGCTTCTCCCCACATCCACTGATAGGGGAGGTCCTCCTCTCCTTCCTTCTGATCTTAGTCTATCAGATCACATCAGGAATGGCTGGATTGTCTTCTTCTGTGGCCTGGTAAGGCTGCTCCTCCCTCAGGGGGAGGTGATCAAAGAGCAGGCCAATCAGTTTATGTCAGAGGCAGTCCCTCTTCCCATCACTATGTAAGCCACTTGGACACTAAACTGCCATGGGCTGCATCTGTGCAGGGGTTCTAGGTTATCTCCATGAATAGTCCTTGGTTGGAGTATGAGTCTTTGGGAAGTTCCCTGTGTTCAAATTTTCTTGTTCTGTTGCTCTTCTTGTGGAGTTCCTGTCCTCTCCAGTTCTTGCTATTTCCCATTTCTTACACAAAATTCCATTCACTCTGCCCGCCAGTTGGACATCAGGCTCAGCATCTGTTTTGATAGTCTGCAGGGCAGAGGCTTTCAGATGCCCTCTGTGGCAGGTTCCTAGGTTGTTTCCTGTTTTCCAACTATTTCAAAGCTTACGAATCTCCTGAATTAGTCACACTTCCAATACCCAGTAGTTGTGAAGACTGAGGCCCGGCGCTGTGAAACATCTTCCAGAGTCAGTTTCCTTCTGATAACATCACACAGCTAGGAAATAAAAACCAAACCCAGTCTCTAAAAGCTGAAGATGCTAAAGTTAGGAGACTCGGGAATAATTCACCTCTTGATTTCTGAGCACTTAGCTCTCTCTTCACGCGTGGCTTTTCAGAGTGCACCTCTGTCGCTCCCCCTTTCCTTCCTTTAGCCTGTTTGCCTTCACTGCTCACCAGTATGTTTGCTTTTGTGCTGTCTGGTGCTCACCCACCCTCCCAAGTGCCCCTTCAGGGACCGTCACCAGACTGATTTTGGTATCACTAGGCCTGGTACATTTATCGTTGTGATAGTGGATGCCCTTTAAAATGTTTGTTCAATAAGTAGTTGAGGCATGAGCAACAAGCTACCATAAAGATCTTTGAGTGTTAAGCCAATCAAGCAAGTTAGGTGTATTAGTTACTCTCTCGTTGCTGCGATAAAGTTCTACCACCAAAAGCAACTTAGGGATGTTTATTTTGGCTTCCAGCTCCAGAGGGTCAGAGTTCATAATGGGAGCGGGGGAGGTGTGGCAGGAGGCAGGATGGAAGGTGGCCAGGGCTGGAAGCTGAGATTACTCAGCTCCCACAGAAGTGGAACAAGTGTATCAACTTGGCTATAAACTAATATATACACGTGTATATATTTGTGTGTGTGTGTTTATAAATAAATAAATAAACAAACTATTAACTCATGTACCAAGCTTAAGGAAAGATGATGCGCTGCATCTTCGAATGTGATACATGCACTCAGTATTCTCTGTTGCTCCGTAGGTGGCACGACATTGCTAACATGTCACACAACAGGTCCTTTTTTGCCTTAGAGCTGGCAAATAAAGAGGAGACCATCCAGTTTCAAACTGTGAGTGTGCACTGGGAATCACGGGATGACTCTCACAAAGGCTCGAGACTTAGTGCCTCTGAGTTCTCTTTTGTGTGGGGGTGGGAAGTGTGGCAGTAACGTAGTGCTTTCACAAGTCTATGCAATATAAATTTATATTTTAAGTGTTCCAAAACGGCACTTGGCAGAAGGTGGTCGCTTGCTAAATACTGTTGAGCACATGAGTCTTTGTATCCGTGTTCTTCTATCCAAGTGCCTTCTCAATTAAGTGTAAAGAGATGACGTGGAGGAGAAAGCCGGGCAGTGCTGCTTACTTGTGCTTGCTGCCTGCACAGAGGTTATATTAAGACACAGAAGCAAATGTTTTGTTTGGAAAGTCTTCCGAGTGTTGCTTCTCAGGAATAAAAGCTGATATTCGATAAAGACGTGACCTTTTCAAGCTAAATGTGTTTTAGAATTCCGAATCACTTAGAAACTATTCACCTACACTGTCGGAACAGATCTATTTGCTTTCCCAATTACATCCTCACGGTATTCAGAAGCTTCTTGCAGGGTTGGGACGTGAGAGGGTGGGTGGAGAGTGCTGGAGGCGTGACTTGTCACCGACTACGTCTTGTTCTTGGGTAGCTCTGCGTTAGAGGTGTTTTCTTCTGTGTGTGCCTCTCTGCTACTCTGTGTATCTTTTCATTTGCCAGGAGGACATGGAAACAGCAAAGTACGTGTGGAGGCTGTGTGTGGCACGGCACAAATTTTACAGACTAAACCAGTGTACCCTGTGAGTATCTCCTGCCGTGGAAACTGTAGGAAGTCATTCGGAAATGAAAAAAAATTAAATTGCATTGATTTCCTTCTCTGTTTGCATGTGTGTCAGGGGACCGCATGTAAAAGCCAGAAGACAACTTGGGGAGTCATTCTGTCCACCGTATGGGTTCTAGGCATAGAATTTAACTGTTGAACCTGGCACAAGCACCTTTCACCATTATGATCCTTGAAGGGTTTTTTTGTTGTTGTTGTTGTTTTGGAAAGTGATTTTTTTTCTTCCTTTTCTCACATTTCCATTGTGACTGGGAAAAGATGTGGCATCCTCCTTCCCTTCTGGTTTCCGGGCCTCAGAGGAGTGAAGAGGACTCAGAGTCCATCAGTCCCTGGAAGGAGCAGAGTGGAAAAGAGTAGGAGAGAATAGGGATCACCACAGGCCCCCACGGTGGGGTGGGTCTCCCGCCTTCTCAGGCTTGAGGACAGGGAGCTCTGCTAGAGTTGGAGCAAGGCAGATTCCTTTTCTATGCAGGTGCTTGGGTAGATGAAGATGAACTACGGTGAATCCAGTCCCTCACCTCAGTATTTCCTGTGTCCGGCTCAATCTCTGCTTTGCCCACAGTGGCAAGCTGGGGCAGGGATCCAGAGCCATGTCAGTGACCTTGGAGCAGCCTGGACATACACCTCTGGCCCACCCTAAAATGGGGAGGGGGCTTTTGTTTTTCATCACTTTGTTAAGGAACAAACACTTTGTTAAGGAAAGTCACTGAGACAATATCCTGAGGTATTTCTACCATCTAACACATGATCAGCACTTGCCCTTTGCTAGCTGTGAATAAACCAATGGTCCACTGAAAAGAAGCAGCTCACAGAGCAAGCAAGACAACTTTTACAGTTTTAAGTTAATAGATTAATATTGTGTGTGTGTGTGTGTGGGGGGGGTGTATTTGAATGCATTTGGAAGTTGGTTCTCTCTTGCCACCTTGAAGGATCCAGGAATCGAACTCAGGTTGTTAGGCTTACACACACGTGCTTTTATCCTCTGAAGCAGCTCACCTGCCTAGGAAATGTGTATTGAACATCAATGAACATTGGCTTCTGTCCCTCCTCACTGTGCCATTCACGTGTTCAACACACATTTGAGGGCTGCATATGTTCAGGCATGTGCTCTGTGAACAACACTCAGAAGAACAATGAGAAAAAGGGGCACACACAGAAGAGTGTGTCCTCTCCTCCTTGGAACTTATGACTTAGTTGGGATTAGGGACATAGTCAAAATAAAATGATTGTCTGGGCCTCCAGTCAGGCATCCAGCAGACCTGCCTGTTCAGATGCTGGTTCTGCCACTTGTTTGCCACGTGACCAGGTGTGATCTACCTAATCTAAGTCTCACTTTCCTCACTTGTAACCGTGATAATAACTGGACCTGCCTGATGGTGTTGTTCAGATTGAGATAACCACATGCAGTCTTAGCACAGTTTCACCAGGCAATATCATGCATTTCGCTTAACCTAAGAGCCACTTGTTATCTTCTGCAGTGTACACATTCTAACAGTCAGTCTAAGGAGTTTTAGCTGCCTCACTTCTCAGTGCCTAGCACAGAAAGCATCCCAAGAGTTCGGGAAGCAGAGCCAACAGTTGTTTCCTGTTGTTGGCTAGCCTCTCCTTGAACTGTACTGAGAACAATGAGAAAAACAGGCAGACTGTTAGAAAGGTTGCCTACATCAGACCTACCAGAAGAGGGAGTCAGATTCCATTGCAGATGATTGTGAGCCACCATGTGGTTGCTGGGAATTGAACTCAGGACCTCTAGAAGGGCAGCGAGTACTCTTAACTGCGAGCCATCTCTCCAGTTCGGCTCTGTTGTTTTCAACAGAAATGGCTTCTGCTTTTCCCTTTCCACTGGATGCTGCCAGCAAGATGCCAGTGGGTAAGAATGGCTGCCTCTGCTCCTGAGCCCTGCAATTCTTGGACTCTGTACACACTGAAGACATGTGTTCTTGCCCAGCTGGCCAGATGTGCAGATATTGTTAGGTGTTTTAATAAGTTCATCAGCAGCTCTTTTTCCTACCTGTTTGTTTAAGCTGGTTTTTTTTTTTTTTTTTTGTTTGTTTGTTTGTTTTTTGAGGGTGTTGGGGAGTACTGTTTTGAGACAGGGTCTCTGTGGCTCTGGCTGTCCTAAAGACCAGGTTGACCTTGAATTCTGGCTGCCTCTGCCTCCTAAGTGCTGGGATTACAGGTATGCACTACCACACCTGGCTTTGGTGTTCTTAAAAGCTCAGTACATTGATGGCCAGCCAGTGATTGACTGAACACAGTCTTCTTTAAACCTAGGCCTGACCATGGCTGGTCCCCAGAGGCAAAGTAAGCTTCAAAGTAACAGAAATCGGTGTCTTCTGTATATGTAAGGGGCATTCTAGAGAAGATCCACATACACCCTACAGGCTTGAATACTTGACATGACATTGGAAAGATAAAAGTGTCTTTTAGAAAATAGACACAGCTGTACAATACCGTTCACTTCAAGGAAAATAAAAGGAAAAAGAAAAAAAGATGTACATTATTCTCCAGAAATCTGAATATTTCCCAGGCGTGGGAAAGGAAGTTGCTTAAAGAAAGTGTGTAGGAATCACCTGATGTTCAGATCCTCATGTCTAAGAGTTTTCTTTTAATTTTAAAGGTCTTGTAAAAATAAGCTAACATTCAGAGTGTAATACAGATGCCATTATCAGAGTTCTAAGAATAATGCTAGTTTAAAAGAAAAGAGACTTGTTTCTGGCACATTTTCTGAGTCAATGAATTTATATGGTCTGTAGACCACTAACCATTGTCACAGAGTGTGTTAGTAATCAGTTATGTATCACACAAGCTCTTGAGCCAGGAGTAGATGGTAAAGCAAAACGTTCTTGACAAAATTGTGGGCATTATCAATATTAGCAAGAATCTAATGCATATGGTCATGCCGTGTTCACCTCACGAATGTAAAGAAAGTGTGTGTGTATCTGTCTGTCTTTGTGTGTGTGTCTCCAAATAGAGAAGTGTGTGTTTGTTTTGTTCTGGGAAGTCTGTGAAGTCTGACATAAGGAAGCAGTGAATCTCTTCTCTGGAATTTATGGCATGTTTGTCCTTTTGTCATTTTCTATATAACATACCTGTGTAGATCTTTTTGTTATTGTTGTTTTAGGATGGTTTGTCACTCTGTCTGTATCCTAACCAGCCTGTAGTTCAGATACCATCCAGACTGGCCTCGAACTCCAGCACACTGAGCTTCTCTCGTGCTGGAGTTACCACAGGGCTTCCTTCCTAAACCATGTTTATTGTTGTCTTCTCCCACAGGCAAACTCAGACTGCCACGTTGAACTCAGTCAGGAGGGGCTCATCTTCCAGGATGTCTCTGGTAAGAGAAGGAACGTGACCACCTCTTCTCTCTTAGTGAGGTCACCGTCTCTAATTAAAGTATACTTTGGGCAGTATGTTGAGTTCGAACCACAAAAGTGTGTCGATGTTTGATGATGTTCATCCAAAGAAAGTGACCTCCATATGTTCGACTTAATAATTATTGTACACATTTAAATACTAGATAACTAAATATAATGAATTTTAAGTGGTTAGTCAGAAATCCCAAGTAGGTATTTCACTTATTTGATGACTTTGTCTTGTAGGACTGAACATAGTACATGAAAGCTTTTTCTGTTCATGAATGTAGACAAGGAGGTTTGTATCCATCCATTCCTTCTTGTTCCTAACTTTATGGATGTAGACTTTCGTGTGCTGTCTAGAACCCTTGGTGTCAGTGCACAGGGCTTGGCTTTGCCACATGTCATTGGAAATGACAGATACGTTAAGACCTCTTTCCTCTTCCTGGTTATTTTCCATTTATAATACACTTAACTCCTGTAGACTTTTTTTTTTTTTTTTTTTTTTTTTTTTTTTTAGTGAGAGAGTCCAGCAAAGAATGACTTTACCTTTTTTCACACGGGCAATGTGTTTTAACTCTATGTCCAACTTTCCATTTCTTAGCCTAAACCCCAGCCCTATGCGATGCCTCCCCCACCCCAGCTGCATTATAATGGACATTATACAGAGCCATTTGCTTCTTCCCAAGGTAAAGTACACCGAGCCTGCAAAGCCGTGCACAGTTGTTTCTATGAATAACTCTACAAAGGCCTAGAGATCTTGAAGTCTGGATGGTTTCTTACTATGGTTGTACCCAAAGTTGTTGTCCTGATTTACAGCCACCCTGGAATCACAGAAGAAGCCATCGCATTCAAGTTCTTTCTTGAATGTGTGTTGCTCAGATGACCACAAATACAGCCAGTGGCAGCTCCCTAAGATGGTTCCTCCCTGTTAGCCTCATTTAGGCCAGGCTACCCTTAACGTCTAGTCTTCGTCTGCCAAGTGATGGGATTCCAGGCATGTGGCACCACATCAGGCAATGAGAAGTGCTTCTTTTTGTCACAGAAGATATCCAGACTAGTTTTTGTTTTATCCCTGCCTGAGATGTCCTGCTGTAATGCTTTAAGCATTTGTTACTGCTACTGCAGTTACGCATGCACAGCAGTACTTCCATGCTGAATCATGACCATCTGTGTAACATTTGTCCATAAAGTGCATCTAACTGCACAGAAGGCCAGAGAGGCAGATGCAGACGATCGGTTCCGGATAAAGAGGCTTGGGGTCTAACTGTAGAAATAAGGTATTTGCTCATGATTTGATCACAGTTGTTTTGCTAAGAGAGCATGGATTAGTAAGCTGTTCGTCCTGTCGCGGGCACTGGAAGAGCTTTCTGGATCTAGCTAGATGGCTGGAGTTCTTCAGTTCCAGGCAGGTCTATGACTGGGTCTGCTGTACTGGCTGTTGAGTGTTATGGCACAAGAGAAGAGGCTGTTTGGAAGCAGGGTCCATTGACCATCATGAAGGGACAGAAAGAAGGTGTGTTGCCTGCACTCCTAATTGTGGCCTTCTCTGCAAAGTTGAGGATGTCTCCACAGTGAGGAAGGCAATAGGGAAGCAGAGCTCTGGTGTGATTTCAGTGTCCTCTGGGACCGTCTCACTGCTGTCATCTCGTCTTTGCACATGCGTGTCTGTACTTGTACCATAGCCTTCCAGCTGTGGGGACAAGGCTTCCGCCTCCTGTGTTCTCCTGTGCCATCTTCCCACTTCAGTCTATGATGATCCTGCCATTTTTTCTCACCTCTCTCTTCACACGATGATTTGGGCTATTCTGTCTTCCCCTTTTTCACTACACTTTATCTGAGAGTGTCTCTGTGCTCCAGCGCATTGATTCCCTCTTACTTCCTTTCAGGGGTTTCCATACCCATAGGTCATCTTCCTGTCAGCATTAGGTAGTGTCACAAGGCCTGTCTGTGGCCTTTTTCTTTCCTGTTGGTGTCTTCCACAGCAGCTCCTTCACAGAGTTCCTATAACAATGACTCAGTTTCTCCTTCTCCTTCACCCTGTCATCATCCCTGTTTTCCATCCATTGTCCGTTTCTCACCGTTTTGATGGTCCTTTATTGTGATGAAGTCGGTCTCCTGGTTATGTGGCTTCTAAGCTGCATGTAATTTCACCCAGTCAGCTAAATATCCATAACCTGTAAGATAATGCATTATCCTTTTCGTATCCCTTTCTCCCTGTCCCCTGCTGCTGTTCCAACACCAGCCATTATCCCTTCATTCCTCCCAGTAGCAGTCACGTCCCGTGAGCTGCGTCTTCTGTCCTCACACTCCCCACGTCTCCTGACACAAGGCTCCCAGCTGACTTCAGTGCTGTGTGCGGCCATCCCTTGCCTGTGTCTGCGCTCCTCAGCCTTCCCGTAGCCTGTGCTTCTTGTCTTGCTCCTCCAGTTTGTTCTGTTTGAGTGGACCCTGCTCTGTCCCTCTGCCCTGCCACCCACACACCCTTATCCCCAACACCCTGCAGTCCACGAGCTACTGTTCAGCCAGGGTGGGCTGCCTGTGCTGCGCTGATGTTTAAAGCTCTCAGTCTCTTCCCTGTCCATTGTGCCCCGTTAGGTCTGCTCCGTTCCATGTCAGCTTGTATGGGGGGCTCAGCCTGGAGGAGCCTTTTCCATTGTAACACTGCACTGGAGGGTTGGGAAGACAAAGTCCTCAGAAACTGGCTCTTAACTTTCAGCTCACTTTCTCCTTCCTGCCACTAGTTACACATCTGTACTTGGCACCAAGGGATGAAGAGGTATAGTCCTATGTGCCTGGAGGCAGGGACACTGGCTAGGTGGGTATCACACTGGTCTAGACAACCTGGGTGAGGGATCTGTGATGAGGAAGGAGTCTGGAGGTTTAGCAGTGGCTGAGTGGTCTGCAGATGGAGAAGCATGGGGTGAGGGCACAGGGTTTGGCAGGAGGAATAGAGAGGCCATGAGAATGGCTTCCTCAGAGCTGCGTGCACATCACAGTAAAATTGCCCAGCAGGTAGTCACACATCATATTGCCTGGAGCTTTTGAAGTACACAAACAGTACTTTCAGCAGGACTTGACTGCTAAAGTTATTTTTAAGGGTTGAAAGTAGTGCTCATAAGGCAATTCAGGCGAGCTGTAGGTCGAAGGGAGGAGAGATGGCCTCTGTTAGCCTGGACAGGCACACCAGTGCTGTAGAATTAGTAGCCTGAGCCTGCAGCCCTGGGTCCATGTCTTGCTCAGCTGGAGGTTTGGTGTAGGCAACTACAGCAATCTTAGCCTGGTTCTTCTTGGCTTGGGCCTTTGGTGGAATCACAACTACCAGGGACCCTCCTGTTGGACAGGAAAGCTCTGTACCTGCTGTCCTTCTAGAGTGGACTTTTCTTCGCTAAGGAAGAATCTATGCAAACAACCTAAAATTGCAGTTAAGGCAATGTTCATAGATAGTTGGTACCCGCCCTAGCTCAGCATCGTAGGGTTGTATCCTTACCCACAGGGGCTCAGGGCTTTCCACGGTGCCTCTTCACTGAGTTCCACAGTGCTTCAGAATGCCTCCTTCAATACTGGACTTAGATCTGGCTAGATCCCAGGCACCTTGCTTTAAGCAGACAGACCTACCCCATCCTGTAGGCAAGGACGCTGAAGCTCGCAGGGCAACAGCACAGCTGAAGATGTCGTTTTAGTAGGAAAATTTACCAGCTCTTTCAGGGCCTGTCTCAGTATTTGGCTGGAGTGATGGGTCCTACTTAATACGTGTTCAAAATCTTTTAAAACTTTTTCCTCCTCAGATAACATCTTCGTGCCCAACAAGAATGGATTCTATTGTCACTCCCAAACAAGTCTGGACAGAACTCAGATTGACCTCAACGGTCGCATCCGCAACGGCAGCGTCTATAGTGCACACAGTACAACCTCCCTAAATACCCCTCAGCCCTACTTGCAGCCCTCCCCTATGTCTTCCAACCCCAGCATTACTGGCAGTGACGTCATGAGACCCGACTACATCCCATCCCACCGGCACAGCGCCCTGATTCCCCCATCCTACCGCCCCACCCCCGACTATGAAACTGTGATGAAGCAGCTCAACAGAGGCATGGTGCATGCAGACAGGCACAGCCACTCGCTGAGGAACCTCAACATTGGCAGTTCCTACGCATACAGCAGGCCTGACGCCTTGGTCTATAGCCAGCCCGAGATTCGGGAGCACGCACAGCTTACCTCACCCCAGTCGGCCCACTACCCGTTTAACTTGAACTACAGTTTCCACAGCCAGTCTCCGTACCCCTACCCTGCCGAGAGGCGACCTGTGGTGGGCGCTGTCAGTGTGCCTGAGTTGACCAATGTGCAGCTCCAGGCCCAGGACTACCCAGCTCCAAACATTATGAGGACACAGGTATACCGGCCACCCCCGCCATACCCTTACCCAAGGCCTGCCAACAGCACCCCGGACCTGTCCCGCCACCTCTACGTCAGCAGCAGCAATCCGGACCTCATCACCCGGCGAGTCCATCACTCAGTGCAGACCTTCCAGGAGGACAGCTTGCCCGTGGCCCACTCTCTGCAGGAGGTGAGCGAGCCCCTCACAGCGGCTCGGCATGCCCACCTCCAGAAGAGGAACAGTATTGAAATCGCGGGGCTCACACATGGTTTCGAAGGCCTGAGGCTCAAGGAGAGGACCATGTCAGCCTCCGCAGCAGACGTGGCCCCGCGGACTTTCTCAGCAGGCTCGCAGTCCAGCGTCTTCTGCGACAGAATGAAGCACGAGGAGACCGAGGAGCAGGAGGCTGGCAGATACAGCCACAAGAAGTCCCTTTCTGATGCCACCATGCTGATACACAGCAGTGAGGAGGAGGAGGACTTAGAAGAGGACAGCGGCAGAGCACGTGCCGTCTCGGCTGTGTCCGAGCCCCGCCTCACTGCCGCTGTCTCCCAGGAGCAACAGCTGAGCTACCCCTGTGCTTCGGCCACGCCGCTCGCTGGCCCTCTCCACATTCTTGAGCCCAAGTCCCACGTTACAGAGCCTGAGAAGAGGACGAAGGATATCAGCCCGGTCCACCTGGTTGTGGAGACCCATCGGCCCCGAAGAGATGGGCTGCTGACCCCCTCCATGTCCGAGTCTGACCTCACGACCTCAGGGAGGTACCGAGTTCGGAGGGACTCCCTCAAGAAAAGGCCGGTGTCCGATCTCCTCTCTGGGAAGAAGAACGTTGTGGAAGGACTTCCGCCACTAGGGGTAAGCTTGCCCGGGAGCAGAGGTGCCTCAGATGTGGAGGACAGGCCTCCTAATCTGTGATTCATTTCAACTTCTAATCCCCCCACCCACGTCTCCTGTTCCCTCAGTACCAATAGTTCTGTTTTTTACCTTTTCTGTTAACTGTCCGCCCCTGCCCCAGCTCTGATTTTTGCCTTATTTGGGATGCACAAGTTTATGTGGAAACTGCACTGATGAGGATGGTCGTGGTTTTGCTAGAGGTAAGTTGGGTGCAGAGAAAAGGCCTGTGAAAGGGGATGGAAGGAGTCTCCAAGCCAGCTTAGTAATGTACTGAGGAAGAGCGGGACAATTCATTTCTCCAGTCAACATTGCTTTGCTAGCTACCCTTTAAGATACTGTGGGTGACAAGGCACCCCAGAACTGCATTTTTACAGAGTTTTCAAGTGGAGACAGCAGGTCCTGCCTTTTACGTAGTTGTCAAGAATGGATCCAGCTTGACTATCCAGCCATGACCTCGGTGGGCGGGGTAGTGACTCTGGACTTGGGAAAGTAGTGAGTGAGCTGAGCACTCAAGAAAGCCCTTGTAGACATGGTGGCTGTTCTCCAGGGGAAGCACTTCCCACGCGTTTAAAACAAAATGCAAGAGAGCAACGAGTGCTGTTTTCTGTAGCTGTCCTTTTCAGAACATTTACCACGTGCAAAGATTTCGTCTTTGCTGTGCCCAGCTTATAATGAGCCCATTGTCATAGCCTGTTGCACAGATAAAGGAGAAGCTGACTGGAAAAATATGAAGTAGCGTTTCCAAGGTCATACAACCAGTGAGTGACTGACCTGGCATTTCCATCTTATTTATCCCTATAACCACAGTGTACTGCGTCCAGGTATCCCGTATGAACTCTTTCACTCAGTAGCAATTGCCTGAGGAAGCCTGGCTACTCCACACGGAGTCTCTTCTGAGTCCCCAGCCTTTGACTAAGCACTCGTGGCTCTGTTTGTTAAGTGCGTCTACTCGGAGTCGCCACGTTGCACTGCCCTGTTATGGCCCTCACCAAGTTGTCCCGTGCCCTGCACTAGAACCAAGTCACAGTGACGAAGTTCTCCTCTTCCATCTCTTGTTAGACTGCACCCAGAGACTGAGGAGGAATCATATGTGTACTTTTAGACTAGTGGATGAGGGCCTCAAAGAGATGCAGGCCTCCCGGCAGGCCGGACTCAAAGATCATAATGCTTATGGGCGACCAGTACTCACAGAAAGCACAGCTTCAGAAAGGGCACAGATTTACGGGTGTTTTAAGCTAAGGATGGAATTTTAAGTTTAGCTTTATTTTCTTCCTGAGTGTACAAAGGCCAGTGCTCTAGTCTGCCGTGGTGGAAGCTACAGGCTGAGTAGTATTCAGGCAGAGACAGATTGGGGCTATCCTTAGTCACTACCCGAGTCCCCAAGCCGTCCTTGGGGTCTTAGTGCAGTAACAGCTGCCCACTGTTGTGCCAAACACGACTCCTCCTCAGTGACACTTGCACTGAGCACAGTCCCCTCTGATTTTCTAACTTCCTATGAGTTGAAGAGACCAAACCCCTCCAGCCTCCCCCATCCCCCGGACCTCTTCAAGGTAACATAGCTTGCCCATTATCTTCTATAAATGTTCAACAAATATAAAGAATTAAGAGAAGCTTAATGTATTTTGAATGGCATCTGGCAGGCTCGGCTTACACTGAGGCCTTTGATCAAGTTGCGTCTCTTAAGATACACATTTTCTCTCTCATATTTTAAGACTTTTTGGCAAAGTTGTGTAATTTGACCATTTTTTGGCCCTTTCTTGTCTGCACAGGGATTTTACCTACTTGATGATAGGTGTATTAGAGAGTTAATCAGTGGACAGGACGCTTCATGCACCGTACTGTGGTTTCTGTGACCCAGGACAGTTATCTCCTTTCTGTCCATTTGTCAGTTTAAGTCCCACTGTGATTAGGCATGGGAAACCACTTTCTGAAGCAAATGCTTCAGTGTAACTAATTTTAACAGAGAATTTGTTTATATTGTGTTGACACTGATTCCTTTATTTAAAAAAAAAGGGGGGGGCAGCTGGTGACCTTGAGCAAACTATATATTCATCCATGACCCAGTTTTCTCATTTGTAAATAAGGTGACCTCAGAGAGTTTGTGGGGGCCTAACATAACCCTTCAAAACACCAAAGGTGCTCGGTCAGCATTGACTCGTGACCGCGTTGTCACCTAAAGGTTAGTTTCCCAACTTTCCAAGGGTTAAGGAGGTCGTTCCCGCTACTGGAGCCGCTGCCCCCTTCATGGTGACATTACAACAGGCGCGAACGTGAGGTAAAGTTAAAGAAGCAGCGAGCAAGTGGCTGACAAGAAGGGACATTTCAGAGTTCCCCACCCAGAGCCTCCACCTCCAGGGACTTGATTGTTATCTCTAAGGCAGACTGGTTTGGGTGCTCACACATCTGCATAAAGATCGGCTTGCTGACGCATCCTTTTATGCCCAGGCAGTGTGGTTTTCACCTAAGAAGCCCTGCAGACTTTGCTCGGAAAACCATGGGCCTGGTAAGGGATCATCACAGCTGGCCTTGACCACTCTCACCTGGCTCATCAGTGTGGGGTGTTTGTATTTCAGGCAGGATAGGCTAGAGTCAGCTAATACTGGCTAGCAGGACCTGTGAGGTTTTAGGAATACGGGGAGCCATAGGACATCCTTGGGCGATTGGGAAGTGTCTGAGCCATGAACTTGGCCGTGAAGACAGAACGTCTCCTCTTGGAAGCCAGTTGTTAAACACTGCAGCACAGCACTGTTGTCTGCACAGCTAGATTCAGGGCATGTTAGTCTTTGTGTCTTTCCATGTCGTGCCTTCCCCACTGTCTTTTTCTATTTTTCTGTTTAGGGAAGACTTCCCTGAACGATTGATGTTCGTTACTTTCATGCTGAGCTTTAACCCAGGATTCTGTCCATTCTACGTCTGAATTGCCTTATGTGGGAAGCTCACAGGCAATATGCACTATGACTTAAATATATCCTAGTTAAAAAATATCCTAGGGGCTGAAGAGATGGCCCATTGAGTTAAAGACTGCTTGCTGTGCAATCAGAGGGACCTGAGTTCAAATCCCTAGCACCCACATGAAAGCTAGTCCTGGTTGCGGCCACCTGCAATGCCAGCGTTGTGTGGTGGAGGTAGGTGGATTCCAGGAGGTTGGTGAGAAAGACCTTGTCTGGAGGAGTAAGGCAGAGAGTGGAAGAGAAGACACGGATGCCCTATTCTAGCCTCTGCTTACACGCACAGCAGCACACACGTTCTCCAGTAACAGTAATCTTACCGCCTTTTCTTTCTCACCAAAATGTCTTGTCTCTTTGTTTCTTTCTATGAATTTGATTTTGAGGGTTGCGGCCTTTTTAGGCTGATAGAGCTGGAGTAAGCTGGTTTCTTGACAAGAACCGAGAAAGCGGTCCTTCGAGTCCTGGGCTCTTTGTAACTCTGTAGAATGTTGGAGGAGACTAGGTCTCAGGTTCACCTGCCACAGAGAGGGAAGTCGTGAGGCTTGAAGACTTTGGCAACCCCCTGTCTTTGTAGGGCAGCACTCCGCTGATGCTCCCCTTCCACCCTGGCTTTCTGATGGAGATGTCAGCTGTGTTTTTCTCTTGGTATAGAAATGTGGTTGTTCAGCTGGGTGCAGTGGCACACGCCTGAGATCTTAGCACTCAGGAGGCAGAGGCAGGTGGATTGTGAGTTCAAGGTCAGCCTGGGCTACAGAGTGAGCCTAGGACAGCAGCCAAGGCTACACAGAGAAACCCTGTCTTGAAAAAACAAAAAACAAACAAAAGATGTGGTTGTTGTGGTTCTTAGAGACCTGGGCCACATGGTTCTTCAAGGCTGTAGAGCGGAATAGATGAAAGCAATTTTTCTTTCTTCCTTCCCCACGCCCCCAGAATGATATAATTTTTTCATCGTTTGTTCTAAAACATGGTGGTTGCATGCATTTTATCCCAGCACTCAGGAGGCAGAGACCAGTGCGTGGTTATCTGTGAGTTTGAAACCAGTCTGATATGTATAGAGAATTACAGTCCAACCAAGGCTATACAGTGAGATCCTGTCTCGAAACAAGAAAAGGGCTATCGCAACCATCGATACCTTGTTTGGTGAGGACTGGGGCAGAGTTTTGGTGTCACGTTTGGAAGCTGGGTAGCTCTGTGAGAATGCTGCCTCCTACAGCCTCACCTTTCATTGCAACAGAGCCCTGTAACCAGCCAGACTCCACACCTTCTAATCGGATCCCTGGCCTTGAAAGGAATGTCTCTTCCTAAGGCTTGTTTAGCAGCCCTGTGGGAAGGAGTGGAGCCTCTCATTGGTTGCTGGCAAGGGCGAGAGCTCTGCCTCTGTCTGCTCTTCAAGCTGTTGACCTTTCTTTTGAAAGGGTTGTGTCCCCATACATTTTCAATGCGCGTGTAAATGTTTTCTTACAGGGAATGAAAAAGACTCGAGCAGACGCAAAGAAAATTGGTCCCCTCAAGCTGGCTGCCCTCAATGGACTCTCCCTGTCCCGACTGCCCCTGCCTGATGAAGGAAAGGAAGTATCCACCAGAGCAACGAATGATGAGAGGGTGAGTGTGTGCTGGGGGCCAGCTTCCTGCTTCCTGGGAGCCAGCATGAAGGCAACTCCAGAGTGCCCTGGTGCAGTTTTGGTGAATTTTTTTCTGAACTAATTTAATGGTCATAAATGAATGTTAGGGAATATGGCTATCCGAGTCACAGCTGGAGGGAGTGCGTGGCTTCACTGTCTTAAAGCATTTCAGGCTCCAGTGTTGATTAAGTTTTTTGCTTCTAAAAGTTCTTGATTGTTTTATTTCCTCAGAGTAAGATGTGTATAAGGATACATAGAAAGAAAAGAGAGCAGACATACTGAAAAATTCATCTTGTTTCTAAATTAAAATTAAATGCTGAATTAAATACAAAATTCTTTGTGAGATTTTATTGTTTTAAATTAGGACAGACGCTCATTTCCTCACAGCGCCACCTGGAGGTGGCTCCCAAGGCCTGCTGCTTCTTCTTTTCTTCTTCTTCTTTTGAGACAGGGTTTCTCTGTGTAGCCTAGGCTGCCCTGGATTCACTTCATAGACCAGGCTGGCCTTGAACTCAGAGAGATCCTCCTGCCTCTGCCTTCCTGAGTGCTGGATTCCAGGTCTGTTCCTAGTTTGCTTTCAGCATCTTATGTACATTTGTTACAAGTCAGAGCACTTGCGCGCAGATTCTGGACCTGATTATCCTATTCTAGGCGAATTCTGTTTCTTATAGATCATGAATCAGACCATAGGTTTAGGCCTCAAGTTAGCAAACGGCCTAAGGCCAGCTTTCAACTTCAAACTGAATTCCACATTTATACCTGCCAACAATGTTATGTATCTTGTTCTAATATTCGTGACTTGTAGAACTTTTCATAACAGCTGTGATATGTGACTTTATTCACCACACGAATCCTCTTTCATAGTGTAAGATTCTGGAACAGCGCTTAGAGCAAGGAATGGTCTTCACTGAGTATGAACGGATTCTTAAAAAGCGGCTAGTGGATGGGGAGTGCACCACAGCCCGGCTCCCTGAAAACGCAGAACGGAATCGATTCCAAGATGTGCTTCCCTATGATGATGCCAGGGTGGAGCTGGTTCCGACCAAGGAGAACAACACAGGCTACATCAACGCGTCACACATTAAGGTGAGACTAGCATCTCAGGGATCAACGGCCCTGTGCAGTCTGGGGCTGACTTGTAGGAACGGTAAGATTTACATTGGGTTCTGCTCTGGGAAAACATCCTGTGTTGAGTCATTGTGACAGTTTTGGTATAAGCTGGAGAATCCAGAGTCAGTCAGAGTCACATCCACTCCCTCCATGTGGTGGCCTTTCTGCGCCTATACTGTAGCCAGGACTTGGAGCATCTCATTGGTCTTGAATCTGAAGACTCTTAGAGCCTGTCAGGTCTCTCAGGAGCTGCTGAACCTGACCCACTTGTTTCCCCCTCACCACACAGCAGTGTGCGTTGTATGTATCGAATGTGCCTGGTTTGCTTTTCATGTCCTCCCTTTTCCCAGCACTGGCGATGAAACCCAGGTCTTTGTGCTGGGTAGACACTGGAGCACTGAGCAGCGTCCCAGCCCTGGCCTGGGACTTTGGAGGACGCTCGCACAAGCTTTTGCTTATAAGGATGCCATCTGTTCTCTCCTGTCTCTCTTGTGATCATCTAGTGTCACTTGCTCTTTAAGAAGCGCCCCTCCTCCCCCCCCCCCCGAAGAATCTGGGCAATGTTACCCTTGCTACAGTGGGAGGAGGCAGCGCAGAGCACTGGGCTAATGCCAGCTAGCTGGGCTTCTCTATGGTGGAGAGAATGCCCTTAGAGTGAATGAGTTGTGTCTGTGGTTAGGTGCATTTTTCTTTCCTAGTTTTCTTCAGTTTGCAAGTCATATTTGATAGCAGCCTGATTGAGGGATTTCTAAAGGCTTGGCAAATGTGTGCTGCTTAGTGTATTTATTTATTTTGGTTTTGGTATTTTTGAGACAGGGTCTTGCTACATCTCCTTGGCTGGCCTGGAACTCTATAAATAGAGCCTGCCTCTGCATTCCAGGTGCTGGGATTAAAGGCATGCCTAATGGTTTTGAGGAATCAATGGGAGTAGTGCCTTGCTTCTTATATAGGTATCATGTATTTAGAAACATACATATCTTTGGAATAACCCATCTAGTCTTTTACAACTGGATGGGAAAATGGAAAGATGTGATTTTTTTTTTTTTTTTTTTTTTTTTTTTTTTTTTTGTAGTGTTGTTTTAGAACCTTCAGTGTCAACTTGAGCAGTCACAGAAAGAGTCAGGCAGGTTGGGTCAGCTCACTGGTCTCTCAGCAACTGTGGAACCTCCGTTTATTTAACCAACTGCCGTGATACCCTGGGCCCACCGCATGCTGCTGCTGAAAGGGGCCCCAGTGAGAGGGCTCAGAGCATGTCCTGACGGCTGGCTGCCTTGGAGGAGGGCGTGAGGGATAGGGCGTGACGCAGACCTTCACACTTAGTGGGTACTCAGAAATGGTGGCCATCAGTTACCAGCAAAACATAGTTTAACCCAGGCTTCTTGGCTGTAAATCCAGTAACTCCTTGCTATGTTAGCACTGGGGCCATTAAAGTGTGAGTGGGAACTTGGACCTAAGGAGAGTGATCTTGACTTAGTTCAAGATGGAGACCATTCTAAATTGAAGACACTTTTTTTTTTTTTTTTCTCATAGAAATCTGGTATTAGATTAGGCTTTGACTTCCTTACTGATACTTTTCCAAGCATATTTAATATTTCATCATGGCAAATTGTTTGTTGTTTAGGGTCCTGTGATGTTGGTATTACCACTGCAACAAGCGTGGCTGTTTATTAGGACTCATTGTGTGCTAGACACTGTACACACTGCCTCTGTCTTCATAACCCTATACCCTGGGCGATTATTTTGTAGATAAAAACTGACATTGAGAGGTGAGCAGATTGCTCCCAGTCATGTAGATGTCATATGAACCCATGTTCACATCTTTATATGTTTATAAAGATGTCAGCAGTTACAATTGTCTCAATGAGGAAAGGTTAAGACAGAAATCTGTCCCGACTCTGCTGAATAGCCCCGTCAGTTTTCAGTGTTACCACAAACATATAAACATCTATGCATTCATATTCCACGCACATACACTAAGCTTTTAACTTTTTCTGATTTTAGGTCTCTGTCAGTGGAATTGAATGGGATTATATTGCCACACAGGGACCATTACAAAATACCTGCCAGGACTTTTGGCAGATGGTGTGGGAACAGGGAATCGCAATTATAGCAATGGTGACAGCGGAGGAGGTGAGTGTTCATTCCTCTCAGTTGATTTTTCTGTGTCTCCAAAGAACTGTTGACCATTAGAGCAAACAGGAGGTGACATTGTGGCCTGGTAAAGGCTTGTGTGAAGGTCACCCCTGGCCAGGGCCTGTGCTGCTGCTGAAAAACGCTTGTCTTTACCAGGAGGGTGGCCGGGAGAAGAGCTTCCGGTATTGGCCAAGGCTTGGTTCAAGGCACAACACTGTCACCTATGGAAGGTTTAAGATCACGACTCGGTTCCGCACAGACTCCGGCTGCTATGCTACTACAGGTTTGAAGATGAAGCACCTTCTCACAGGGCAGGAGAGGACGGTTTGGCATCTCCAGTACACAGACTGGCCTGAACATGGCTGTCCTGAAGACCTCAAGGGATTTTTATGTAAGTGTCTGTTTATAGGCAGCTTCCTTTGTCTTAGGTTTCTAAAATAGTGCCTCTCTGCTGTTTCATGGAGTTTTGTTTGTTTTAAAACAACGTGTCTCAGGAGGCTTAATAGAAGATGGATTTGTAGTTGTGCGTGCGTGTGTGTGTGTGTGTGTGTGTGTGTGTGTGTGTGTGTATGTGACACATCATGTGTAGAGGTCAGAGTGCAGCTTGGGGAAGTTTTTTTTTTTTTTTTTTTTTTTTTTCCACAGTGTTGCGTCTGGGGATTGCGTCTTGGCAAGTGCCCTTACCCACACTGCCATTTTGCCAGTACAAGAAGGCATTCTCAAGAGAGGGCTAGTCTTGAACAGAGCCACAGCTGGCTCGCACGTCTCCGTCATCTAGTTTTGGCTGAGGCAGTGACGTGCGTGCAGGCAGCCTCAGGCCAGCCCTGGTATCTTGGCGCCAGTGCTCTTTATCTGTTGTTGTCTCAGTGGAGGGAAGATGGTTGTTGGTTTGATGAGGACTTTTGTGTCTCACAGCATACCTTGAGGAGATCCAGTCTGTTCGACGTCACACGAACAGTACAAGTGAGCCCAGAAGCCCCAACCCTCCACTGTTGGTGCACTGCAGTGCTGGCGTGGGGAGAACGGGTGTTGTCATTTTGTCAGAGATCATGATCGCCTGTCTGCAACACAACGAGGTGAGGAGTTTTGCTCAGCTCCGTGCTCTTGGTGGGCAGAGTTAGGGCTAGGGGGAGAGGGGCATGGTGGCCCCAATATCCTCCTGAACACAGTTCCTACGACTGTAGTGGACCACAAGATAGATGGTAAGTGTTTTAAAAGGTTTTGTCTTAGAGGTTTCAGCTCCGACTTTTCAGTAAAGACTGAGATGTCCTGTAATACGGAAGGCCGTTTATTTTTGTCTCATCTAGTGTTTTTCCAGTGTGAGCTGAGTGCTTTGTTTTCTTTTGTTTTGTTTTGTTTTGTTTTCTGTAACAGCATTAGCGCTTCCAGCGCGATTGGTGCTGTCCAGCAGTCTGTGTGGGAAATGTTGCCTTGATCCTAGCAGCGCCTAGCATACTATGTTTGTATTGAATCTTAGAATCTGGTGAGGTTTCATTTACATGTAATTGATTTACCAGTCAGTATGCCACAGCTAGGGAGTGTTGAAGATATAATACTCATGGATATTTTATTTGTAGCTAAAACAAAGCAGATCTTAGGTTATCACAGAAGACTCTCATGTAGACAGAGGGTTGTGTGTCTCCTGGCAGATTTCTGTGAGGGCGGCAGCCTATGCAGTGTGTTTCCCCTGGGAGTGTTTTCTCATCACGGTTTCTCTCCACCAGGTGCTGGACATCCCCAGAGTGCTGGACATGCTGAGACAACAGAGAATGATGCTGGTGCAGACGCTCAGCCAGTACACATTTGTGTACAGAGTCCTCATTCAGTTCCTCAAAAGTTCCAGGCTCATTTAAGCTCCCACACTTTTTATGGGGACCCACTCATGTGAAGTATTTACAGCTTGAAAAGGAAAAGGAAAGAAAGAAAAGAAGTGCAGTTCACACTGTGTCCCAAGTAGTCCCCTGTGGAGATCCTGCACAGGAAGTGTGGGCTGAGGAGCTGAAGCAGTGTGCTAAGCACTCAGCCGAGGTGGGGTGTGGGGCAAACTGAGGAAGGCGGGCTGGGCGCCCCGGCCTCAGCTGCCCAGACTGCAGCACCTGCACACACTCTGGAGACAGCCCTCTGTCTCACTGAAGCTGTGCTGGGCAGTTCTGGCAATCATTAAGGTGCACAGACTTCTATCTTAAGCTTGTTTTTCACAATGTAATTTTATGACTAAATAGGGCTTCTCTCTCTCTTTTTAGCTAGAGGCTGAACTTTTCTGTGGGGCGTCCACAGACTGAGTGGTTATTGAGAAACTGTATTTAAAACCATTGTTAGCTTTTGTTTAAGAACAAAAACCATGGGGGAATTAAGTGGTTTATTTACCAAATCCAAACTAAAGAGAAAATCTTAAAAGTGTTATTTTGAAACATAGAAAGCATTTTTATATTCAGAATGTTTTTTAAAAGTTCTATATATTTGTACCTTCTATATTTTCCAAATAAGAGCTCAATTTGTTATGATACTGAGTCAGTTAATGTAAAGTTGGGGATAAAGACACATTATTTAAAAATCAAAGAATCAGATTCACTATTTTTTCAGTATTATTAATAAGCATAAATTAGTTTGATTTTATTGATTGAAAAAGAACAATTCCATAGGATGGTTTTAAGCACTTTTTTTTTGTTAAAAATGGGTTTAATATATGTGGCTTTATATTTTAAACAACTGTGGACACTATTTCAAAGAGAAGGGCTATGGGTATGTAAGCTGGCTAGGACGAGAGTAAGTGCCTGCGGTGGTCTCGCAAGATGGCTTGGTCGTTACACACATGCAGTATTATCTGTACTCACACTGAGAGCTGGGATGGAGAGTGGGGTCTTGGGGGCTTGGGATGGATGCTAGAGGGCTTCTCCATACAAGAAATTCGAGGTTCCCCGTTGTCAAGGACTTGCTTTGTTTCTTAGGGTTCTTCCTGTATTTCTGTTCCCCGCAAACAAGTTGAGGTTTACATTATCATTAGAGAAGCCTTTAAGAGGCTTTGTTTCCTTTAGGTTGAAAGGAAGAAATAGTTAACAGGAGGCTCCTTTCCCAAAACCACAGTCCAAATTTATGGGGCCACCAGAAATTGCTGTGGTTTTCTGGGGGTACTGAAATTTAGCACCTTCATCCTGTCCCCACGGAAGGGCAGTTCTAGGTACTTGTCCCCCTCTTCCATGCCATTTGGGCACATCCTTCTGGTCAGAACCAGCTCAGGTTTGAAGGGGGAGTGTTGCTCTTGGCCCAGGCTGAGTTTGCCTTGTGAGATGTGGAGGACAAGCTGGCACCTTTAGCTGTGGTGTGTCGTGTTGTCCGTCTGTCCTTAATCCTACCCCCGAGGCTGCTGCTTCATAGTATAGGTGTTTTAGAATCTCAGATCTAGGATTAGCTCCCAGAACGACAGTGTTCTGCGTCATTCTGATTTGACTGTGGTGAGCATTGCCCTCCATGACAAGTGTGTGCCAGCTAGGCACAACAGACTCAGGTAGACGCGCTTGCGAGGATGGGGCTTGTGTGGCGTATTTTCCATCTCATGCCATGTGAAGGACAGGACATTTTCTGAAGCTTTTTCTTCCAATGGTACGTTGTTTGAAGATGCTTTCTTATCACACTTAACCATTTGGAAATATCCCACTGACAAGAACATATTGTAAAACAAAACTTTAATTAAAGAGTAATATATGGCATGTTTGTGTTCCCGTTGCAGTACTTTGATAAGTGAATTCTTTCAGGGCAAAGTGATACTGTTTAAATCTGTCCCTCTTCAATGTTGCATGCATGACATCGCTTCTACGGAACATTAATGTCAAACTTCATTACAGCTAGCACACGAGAAGTTTTGAGTGAAAACAACTACATTATTGCATTTTGGAATTTTCAAGGGCCAATTCAAAATTAGGATTTAAATGTTTGCCGTGCCTGAGTTGAGAATGTTACTGGTCTGTCTGCCAAATTTTATGCAATACTTCATGTATCACTAAGGCTTTTGGCTCCTTGATTGATTCCTTAGTATTGTTTTCATATCAGAATTATCAAATTGTACATTTCTACATTAACTTTGGTATTTCTGGCATCCGCTTTCCTGATGGCTGGGGCTTTTGCTGAGGTTTCAAGTTTTGAGCCTGCGAAGCACACTTCTTAAGAGTGTAAACTGAATGTTAAGTTATAGTCAGTTATTTTTTTCCCCCCCTCAGGAGCTCCTATGTGAAGCATTCAAGAAAGTCCTAGAATTTAACATTTAAAACTTTTGGGAAGGGTTAAAGCAGATGTGCTCCTGTAGAAACTTCCAGAAAGAGAGATGTCTACCTAGGAACCTGGGAGAGGAGGACAGGGTTCTGATACAGGACTGTGTGATAACATCAGGGTGTGGCCAGATTCATTTCGGAGAGGCAGACATATTAATACAGTGTAAGAAAACTGACAACATAACTGTGATCATATATAGTAAGCTGGAGGTCTGCTGCAAACAGGAAAACAAATTAGTATTTTAAATCTTTTCATTTTTTTCTTGTACAGTAAAGAAAGAAGTAATTGTTCTAATACACACACATACACACATACACACACACACACACACACACACACACACACACACACACACACACACATAATTTTAAGGCAATCTCACTATATAGCCTGTGATGGCCTGGAACTCACTATGTAGACCAGGCTGTCCTTGAATTCCTTTATATCTGCCTGCCTCTGCCTCCTGAGTGCTGGGAATTAGGCTTTTACTACCATGCTTGATTTAAATTATGCTTTTAAAGGAAACTCTCTTGAGTAAAAACTTAGTACATGAAACATGCTAAAATGATCTTTTTACTTAAAATTCATTTTAAAAAACCAAACTGAAGACAGGACCCTTTTGAGTGACATCTGGGGGGACTTTTCTTAAATGAAGTTTAAATTCCTCAGAGCAGGGCCCTAGTCCTAGGACCTACTAATTGTGTACAGGAAAGGGAGGTGTAAAATCCAAAGTCTGCAAGTTTGGCTTGGACAGAGCATTTCAGAGAACAACTCAAAGGTTCTTTGGTTGTGTAAGAGGCATCATCTTCTGGGTATCTGTCAGCTGTTAAATAAATACAATCTGACAGACCACTGCATGTAAATGAGAGAATCACATTTACTTTTTCAAATGTTGCAGTGTGTGTGTTAGTTCCTTTGGTTTGTCCCCCAGAGCCACAGGGGAGGGGTGGGCTGTGTTTGTGTGAAAGGTAGAAAGAGGTAGCCAAATCTCACGTTGTGTCCTCTGCGAACATGTGGAATGACTGTTCTCCCTGCTGCAGCCTGGTGGTGAGATTGGAGAATGGGTTCTCCCTGCTTTGCTAGGGAGTGGGGACTAAGATTCATAGTTGAAGCCAGATTTCCTGGAAGTGATTATCTTAGCATTTTCTGCAGAAAGCTGGGTGGTGGTAAGATGCCAGATGGGTGGCTGAGGGATGAGGCAAGCATGAATGTTGCCTGGGAAGGTGGCTGCAAGGCAGGGTGAAAGGGTGAGTTGGCAAAGAATTCTACCTTTGCCGTTGTACTTACCTACCACACCCTTCCTGGTAAGGTGACTGGATTGGGATGGAAAGAAAGGTGTCTAGCATCAGCTGAGGGACATTGCCAAGTGCAACAGCAGTGTCTGAAGGCTGTCCCTCGATCATCACATTTGTATAGAAATCATGTCTCCTGAACAGGTTTCTAAAACCATTTGGATTGGTGGTGTGCTTAAACACTTAAAGTACCTTTAATAATCTGGAGTTAATGAAGAGTTTTCAGTATATTGATGCTTAAGATAGGGATATCACTGGGCAGTGGTGGCACATGCCTGCAATCCCAGGACTCAGGGTGTGGGGGCAGGCAGAGGCAGGCGGATCTCTGTGAGTTCAAGGCCAGCCTGGTCTACAAAGTGAGTCCAGGACAGCCAGGGTTACACAGAGAAACCCTGTTTCAGAAAAAAAAAAAAAAAAAAAAAAGATAGGGGTATCACTCAAATATTGAAAATGTGTATGTATGTACATGTGTGTGTATGCCATAGCATATGTGTGGAGGTAAACGGTCAGCTTTCAGGAAGTCGTTATCTCCTTCCGCCTTACTGAAGCAGGGCCTGGTTGGTTTCTGTGCCTTTAACCACTGAGCTGTCCCAGCACTCTTGGCCTTTAAACTCTATGTTATTTTAGTAGTCCATTTGAGTATGTATTTTAAATTTCCATGATAAGGTACACATATCAGGTGACTTGAAATTAATGGACACTGAGTGACACAAATCGTACTGCACTAGTTCCTTTCCTTCTGCCATGACAAAACACCATAAGCAAGGCAACTTATAAAGCATTTCATTGGGCTTATATTTTCAGAAAGCTACCATGCAGGGAACACAGCAGCAGCAGGCAGGAGGTAGTGCTGGAGCAGTAGCCATGTGCTCACATCTTGATTCACAAGTAGGAGGCACAGGAAGCTAACTGGGAATGGCATGGTCTTTTTGAATCCTCAGAGCCTTCCCCCAGTGAGATAACTCCTCCAACAAGGCCACACCTCCTCATCCTTCCCAAACAGTTGCCTTGATCCGTGGTATTTTACCATAGCAGCAGAAAAGTAACAAAAGCAGGGTCAGTGATGCTCTTGCAAAGACATGGTGGCAAGAATAACTGAGAGCTCACGTCTCGAACTACACGTAGGCTGAGAGCAAGGCATGCTGGGAATGGCACTGAGCCTTTTGAAACCTCACGCTCACCTGCCACCCCCTCCCCCATTAACACACTACCTTCAACAAGACTACCCCTCCCAGTCCTTCCTAAACAGACCCGCCAACTGGGGACCAAGTATTCAAACATAAGCCTAAAGGGGCCACTCTTCATCAAACCACCACACTTTTTATTATGTAATTTAGAGTTAAGTATGTAAAAAGTTTTGGTAAGTCTTAGAATTCCATGTGTAATATGTAATCACACACATGAAGTATATATATATATATATATATATATATATATATACACACACACACACACACACACACACATATATATAATACACGCATACAATTTTAAATGATATTACCTTATTAAGGGTAATAATGTTCCCCTCAAGAGTCTAACAAAAATCCCAGCAGCAGAAATGAGAAATCCCTCTGAGTTTGTCGGGAGTTCCGAGAGATCCCAGAACAATAGAGGCTATTGCCACTGCCCGTGCTCCCCATCGCCTCCCAGAATTTGAATTTAAGTTCCTGTTGCTGATGATACCACACACTTTAGAATCAGGACTTGAGCTGGGTCTGAGCTGGAAGCTTCTTGGACTAGCAAAGTACAAGAAGGTGCCATTTAAAGCTGCTAAGGAAGAAGAGTATAGTCAGTAGTCCTATCCAGATGTGACACCTCTGAACCACAACAATGACCAGATCGGCAAGTATTTCCAAAGGTACAATAAGTGGCACTTAGATTTTTCTTGGAGGGGGGAGGGATGTTTCAGTTTACAGTGCCCACTCACTGTGGGAAGTCAGGGAAGGAGCCAGAATTCAGTGAAGCAGAGGCCATGGAGGAGTGCTGCTTACCGGCTTGTTCTTCAAGGCTTGCTCAGCCTTTTTATCTCAAACAATTCCCAAGGGTTGTATGCCTAAGGATGGTATACCCACAGTGGGATGGTCCCACCCACATCCGTCATTAATCAAGAACATGCCCCACAGGCCTGCCCACAAGCCAGTCTTGTGACAGCATTTTCTCAGTTGAGGTTCTCTCCTCCCAAAATGACTGTAGCTTGTGTCAAGTTGACAAAACAACTAGCCAGAGCAATTGTCAACATGTAACCTATCACTCTTTAACTATAGCTTTGCATGTTTATCCCCAGCATCTCATATCAGTACCATGTCTCAGTGGATGTGGGAAGTCTGGGTATAGAGTGGGGTGGTGGAGGCAGTGCAAAGGAACCTGTGGGTCCACATACACATTGTGGAGTTAACCAACAGCTGTCAAATTGGACCTAAGGCCCATCCAATAGGAGGTAAGTGATGCCTGGTACTGTAAACCCAGCCAACTACCCATGGCTGTTGAGGCCATAGAACCTGGAGGACTACTACTGCCACTTTCCTAAACCAGTATAATCTCTAACTGCATTCCACATACTCATTCTTACAGCCACACACAACAGTAGACCTCAACCCTCATTAAACAGCTGTTTCTTGGAGGAATGTCCATTCCAGAAAGCCATAACTTGTCCAAATGCAGA